CAGAGAAGGGGGAGGGATAGCTCAATGGTTTGAGCATTGGCCTGCTAAACCCAGGGTTGTGAGTTCAATCCTTGAGGGGGCCACTTAGGGATCAGGGGCAAAATCAGTACTTGGTCCTGCTAGTGAAGGCAGGGGGCTGGACTTGATGACCTTTCAAGGTCAGTTCTAGGAAATAGGATATCTCTATTAATTTAAAACTATTTCCATCAATGGCTGCCTCACCCAGATGTTCTTCATTTTTCTTGCATGGTGTCAAGTATCAGGGGGTAGCCGTGTTAGTCTGTATCTACAAAAACAACAACGAGTCTGGTGGCACCTTAAAGACTAACAGATTTATTTGGGCATAAGCTTTCGTGGGTGAAGAAGTGAGGTTTTTACCCACGAAAGCTTATGCCCAAATAAATCTGTTAGTCTTTAAGGTGCCACCAGACTCCTTGTTGTTTTCATTTTTCTTGCAGCTGGTACAGAAATTTTCCTTCTCTCAGCCATGGCATATGACCGCTATGCTGCCATCTGTGACCCATTGCATTATGTGAAGAAAATGAACAAAGGGATCTGTGTTCAGCTGGTGAGTGGTACATGGGCCATTGGATTTTTTTATGCCCTGCTCAACACAGTTTTTGTCCTCAGGTTGCATTTCTGTGGGCTCAATCAAATCCACCATTTCAGCTGTGAGCTCCCTCCTCTATTACATCTGTCCTGCATTGAGACCCTCACCAATCAAGTGGTGCTTCTCACTTCTATTGTGATACTGGGAACAAGCTCCTTCTTCTTCACCCTGATCTCCTACATTCACATCATCTCCACCATCCTGCGGATACGCTCTGCGGAGGGCAGGCATAAAGCCTTCTCCACCTGCAGCTCCCACCTGATTGTGGTTGGCTTGTTCTACCTGACAGGTTTTATCCAGTATACAAAACCCAGCTCTGTGTCCTCTGTGGTGCTGAATGAAATGTTCTCCATCCAGTACAGCATCTTGACCACCATGTTAAACCCCATCATTTACAGCCTGAAAAACAAGGAAGTGAAAACAGCTGTAGGAAAAATACTGGTGAAATTCAAGTCTCTTAGGTTTTTTTAAACAGGAGCCCACAGAACTGTGGATAACTAGTATGTTGGACATTCTCAGCTCGGAGTTTCAACTTAACCCCTAATCATAACAGGAGGTGGGGTGCTGGCACTCTGCACATAGGTGTAAGCCACCCTTAAAGACAGATCCCCACCCAGCTGGCTGAAAGCCGCATGGCTGCCCTTAAATAATCAGGGCTGCACCACTATGTGCTAGCTGAGGATCTTGTGCCTCTGTGTATAAGGCTGTGACTCAGAATGGACCTGTTGTCACAAAGGTTGGCTTAAAGAGGATGTGGGCTGGGCTAAATTAGGGGTCAGACAATACACTGTGATTTTCAAAGTGTCTAGTGGAGTTAGGTGCCCAAATCCTATTTGATGAGAAACTTTTAGCCCCAGAAACATGTCATAGGTCAGCCAGAAAGTCTGAGTGAAAACCCTGAAGAAAAGAGAGACTTCCTTGTTCCACTGTGATTAGACGATCAAAGTCCCAGAAACATGCCCGAGGTCAGCCAGAAAGTCTGTTTAGAGCCTGTCCCAGTCCAGAGTCTACAACAACAATTCCATGAATACAGCTGTTTTTTGGGGAAAGAAGAAATGGAAGTAGGAGTAGAAGATTTCATTTCAATTTGTTGTCTCTCAAACATGAAATGATTATTTTTCTTTCAAAATGTCAAATTGAAAAGACAACTTTTATTTTGAGTTGACATTGTAACTCAAATTGAGAATGAAATGACTCATTTCAATGTTGTCAAAATATTCATTCAAAATGAAAGTTTTCATTTGAAATGGACACTTGAAAAGGAAATCTTTTCTTTCAGTGAAAAATGTCAAAATGATACAGCAGTTGATACATTTCTGCATCCAAACATTTTGAGAGTTTTTTCATTTTACAAAAATTTTACATATTTTGGGATTAAAACAAATATTGTAATACAGAATTTCCTGTGTGATGGAAATTTATTGTCCTGACCAGCTCAAATGTTTGTACAGAACCAAACATAACAAGCCACTAAAACTTGGCTTACTGTATTATTAAATTAAATAATAATAATTAATAATAAATTAATAATTGATAATTAATAATTAATAAAATGTAGTGTTTTTCCCAGTAGATCTGTTATATATAAAGCTCTTTGGGTCATAAACTGTGTCTTTAATTTCATCTTAAGCACAGAGACTAACCATTTTGGTATTCTTCTTGTCCAATGTTTTTCTAAATGTTGCTAACATTTATTTGTCTCAGTGTCTCCCCTGTTGGTAATCAGCTCCACTGTCTGATTATGTGTCTTCTTTGTGCCATCCCTCTTTCTAGAAGATAGATAGGTAGATAGCTAAATAGCTAGATAGGTATGGGGGTGAAGATAGATAGATAGCAACCAAATTATGCTTTAGAGCTTTCTCTGCTCCAACAAATGGTAGTTTCATGCGCCCTTTATACATAAGAGTCTGGAGGACTTATGGAATCACCAAATATAGAGCACCCTCCTGACTCTATGCCCTCTGTGATGGCTGGCCAGGGGCTGGGGGAGTTGAGACATCTGGCTGGAGGGGCCTTGCAGGACAGAGTGAGGCCAAGGAGTCTGGACTAGGTGGTATGGCCCAAGTTGGCAGGCAAGGACAGAGTGGGGAAGATAGAGGTGTGGCTGGAGTGAGGGTTGAGGGGCCCAGCTATGGGGGTTGGCTAGAATGGAAGGGCAAGTGGTCAGGCTGGAGAGCCTGGCCAGAGTGGGGGGTGAGACCCATCTGGAGGGGTGTGGCTGGGGGCAGGACTGGCTGGAGGGGGTGGCAGAAAGGAGCCCAGCTGGAGGCAGAGTGTGAGGGGCCTGACTGAGCAGTCTGGCCAGAGTGGGGGGAAGATGGGGGACTGGCTGGAGGGGTACTGGTGGGAGGGATTGGCCAGAATATAAAAGAAATAGGAAGTAAACTAAAATAAAATACTTTTTAAAGTTTTAAAATATCAAATAAAATGTAAAACTTAAAGAGCAAAGAATTTTTTTTTTAAATGAAAACAAGTAAAATATGACATTGAGCTGGATGAGAATCCCTGGGGACACAGGCTCCTCCATCACACAGCAGGAGCTCCCCCTCCCAATAAACACACACACACCTCCAGCCCCAAATACTCCCTCCTCCAGCTCCCCCCAACCCCCCGGCCCAGCAGTGTCCTCTGTTTGGGAACTTGAAATATCATCACCCTAGATACAGTTGAATTTTAAAGGCAGGTATTTCTGTTCCCCTTCATGATGTGACCGCAATGGGGCCAGGCTCTGGAAGTCTCAATGAGCTTCAATCCCACCTGGATCCCCATAGGCAGTTCCAGGAGGGCGGGGTGATTCCCTGCACAGCCCGGGCAGAGGCAGCATTGCCCTTTTCTCTCCCCTCATTCCGAAGGCTTGGCCCGGACCTGCGTCACAAGGTTGTGTGAGCTGGGTACATGCTGGGAAAAGCCCTGAGTGTGGGGACTCAGGCTGGTGCAGAGAGGGGAGCAGAGCCCGGAGGCCTCCAGCCTGACTCTCTCTCTCCTTCCCCTCTCCACCTAGTACCTTGTGTACCCCGCTGCGGCTGGGCTGAATCTCGCCCCAGGAGGCCCAGCCGAGGGACACCCCGTCTCTCTCTCACTCTCCCGGAGTCAGGGTCACCGTCCACTGATGGAAGAGGTGCCTGGCGGTTGCGGGGAGTCTCGCTTGCTCAAGTGGAGATGACTCCATCCAAGGCATAGTGGCGCCTGCCGACATTCCCCGCTCCAGTGGGGTCTGTCCACCAGCTACCTTGTCCCTGGAGCGCAGGGTCTCGCCTCTGCCCCACACGGAGGGAGCCCTCATTGCTCAGTGTATAACGGGGGGGGAGTCTCCTAGCCTCCTGTACAACACGAGCAAGAGCCTTGTGTACAGCAAGTATAAATGGGAGTGGTTCCCCCGGGCTTTGTCTGTGGGTCTGGAAGCCCGGGAGGGCACCGCCCCTCACTCCCAGCAGGGCCGGCTCTAGGCATCAGCAAACCAAGCACGTGCTTGGTGCAGCACATTTTCAAGGGCAGCATTCTGGCCATTTTTGTGTGTGCTTCCGGCGGCAAAAGCCTAGAGCCAGCCCTGGCAGCAGCAGCGCATCATGCATGGGGGGCACCCTGGGGCCGCTGCGGTTTGCACCGCGGGGGAGCAGCGCCCACACCTTGTGGCTGGGCTGGGCAGGCTTTGAGCGGGGGAAACTCAGGCTGGGGGACACCCCACAGGGCACATGGAGCTGCCTGCAGCTGCCACAGGGTGGCCGCCCCCGCCAGTGCTGCAACCGGGACTGGGCGAAGCGGCCCAAGCCACCCAGGGACTGTGGCAGGGAGGCCAGAAGCAGCAGCTGCAGCGGGGCCATAGAGGGTGGGGCGCTGTCGTGCGGGGCCTGCGTCTTGCTCTCCGGAGTTCTGCTGCCTCTGGGGCTACCCTGCCCCGGCTCCTCAGCCCTCTGCTGGGGCAGTCCCCCAGCTCTGCCCTCCCGGGTCCCGGCTGGTCCTGGAGGCGGGAGCCCTGGATGGAGGGACCCTGGGCTGAGGCGCAGCCCGGGAGCCCCGCTGCTTACCCCGACCCTGCCAGCGCTGGACCGGCTGGAGGCGAGGGGGGAGCGGGCAGAGTCATCACTGGTGGGGGGGAGCTCAGGGCTGGGGTGGCAGGGGGTGCGGGTGTGGGGGGGAAGAGAGAGCCCAGGGCTGGGGCAGCAGGGGGTGCGGGTGTGGGGGTGAAGAGAGAGCCCAGGGCTGGGGCAGCAGGGGGTGCGGGTGTGGGGCGGAAGAGAGAGCCCAGAGCTGGGGTGGGGGGCAGCCAAAAATTTTTTTGCTTGGGGCGGCAAAAAACCTAGAGCCGGCCCTGACTCCCAGGCTGGGATGGCCGCATGGCCAGAGTGAGACTGCTGTCTAAACCGCCCCCGCTCTCAGGGGCTGAGAAGGGGGGGCCCTCCGAAGCTCCTGCTGTGTGATTGAGGAGCATGGGTCCCAGGGAATCTCATCCGGCAGGGGTTGGTTCAATTTCAGATTTTACTTTTTTTATTATTTAATTTACTCTTTAAGTTTTAAATTGTATTTGATATTTTTTTAAACTTTTTACTTTCTATTTCTTTTATATTCTGGTCAGACCCTCCCGGAACCCATCCCTCCAGCCAGCCCCGTGTGCACGCCCGCCCCCCCTCCGGTCAGACCGCCCAGCCAGCAGGCTCTGTCCCCACAACTCTAGGCACCCATGAGCCCATAACTAAGCATTTTAGTGCCTGAGCCAAGCAAGCAAATGTGTGCCTCCTAGAGCTTATGAGTCGGGGGAGCACACAGAGTCACATCCCCATTCCACCCCCCCCCCCGATTTCTGCCTTCCAATTTAGCACAGAGGTTTTCAAACTGGTGGGGAATGTCCCCCTAGTGAGCCGCCGCCCTGACCTGGCCTGCTTGGGACCCTGGCTCTCCATGCTGTGGGAGCTGGGGTGCTTGGCTGGCTGCCCGGAAGCCCCTGCCTGCCCTGCTCCTTCAGCTGGGCCACCTCTGCACATCCTGGTGCTCCCCAGGCCCTCCAGGGCAGGGGAGGGGGCTGATCCTGGATGTATTTTTAGTGAGGGTGCAGGGCAGAAGGCAAGATTGGGTGTGTGTTGGGGTGGGGGGGTTCAGGGCAGAGGGCTGGGGGGGTGATGAGGGTGCAGGGCAGAAGGCTGGGTGTGTGTTGGGGTTGGGGGGTTTAGGGCAGAGGGCTGGGGGTATGGAGGGTGCAGGGCAGAAGGATGAGTGTGGGGGGGTTCAGGGCAGAGAGATGGGGCTGTGGGGGTGCAGGGCAGAAGGCTGGGTGTGTGTTTGGGTGGGGGGGTGCAGGGCAGAAGTCTGGGGTGCTCGGCTCGTGGGGGTGCTCCCAGCCTCCTGCCCTGAGCGGCTCAGGGCAGGGGGCTGGAAGGGATATGCCCTGTTCCACCCCCTTCCCCCAGGCTCCTTCCCTACCTCTCTCTGCC